TTAATTTAATATATTGTGGTTGATTTATTTAGGTGTAAAGTTCTGTGCCAAGAAAAAGTGATCGACTCGGTGATATGATCGACTCGCTGATAAACCACGTTAGTAGTTTTTAATAATTATTCTTTTATATACTAGCTTATATAGGTATTTCTTATAGTATTAAATAATTAAATTTACTATTTTTAAGTCTAAGTTAATATAGGTTCTAAATAGCTCTTTTACGTCTATATATATCTATATATACTTATATTAGCGTTAGAGTGTCACAAATCACGTGCTAGCACGTGAGGAGTTAGTCCAGACGGGGTTCTGACAGGACAAACACATCATGGCTCTTATAGCAAAAAAGGGATCGCTTAGGTTAGTTAAGCGATCCAGGAATTTCTTTGTATACAAGTCACGTGATATATGCAGGTCGACTTCTCGCCTGGTCGAGAAGTCGATTATCGACTATGTCGACTTCAGGAACACGAAGGTTCTATATAAGACTGGCACGTCTGCCATTAGATAGGAGCTTCGTGCTCAACTTAGTTATCAATCTTATCATATTAGTTTGACATCTTTGATACAAGTAACGAGTTCACTTCCAAGTGAACAACCCGATAGTCTTCTTCTTATCATAGCATACCAACCAGCGAACACCCAGCCAAGTTTAGTTAGCCAGTTTGAGTATTCGTTACATAGAGGTATTTAAGAATAGAGTCTAAGACTATATTTTAAAGAGCTATTCTAATAAGAATTATGTAAACTCTATACTTATAAAGTATAGTATAGAGGGCTATAATATTAGATATTATTATAGTAGACTAATATATTTTACTTTGTTTTTTAAAGTCTTTTTTAAATATATACTAGAGCTTATTATTAATAAGGTCTTTCTTATAGTTTTTAATCTATTCTTTAATAATCTTATTATTAGTCTTAGGTTCTAAGGTTAGGTTATTTATATTATTATTAGAGTCTCCTAGTATAAGTACTAGTATATTAGCTTCTAACTTTATAGATTTAGATATAGTATTATAGTAGAGTACTAGAGTTAATATAGAAATAAAGGTAGTAAATAGTAGCGAGTTTATATATATAAATAGGCGAGAAGGGCTATAAAAGTAATTATTACTTACTAGTAGAATAGTAAAGTAGTACTAATATAAGGGCTTATATAGCAGTTAGGAGACTAGGGTTGTTTATTAACGTAGGAGTTATTTATAATAATAATAGTTTCTTAGTAATATTCTTTATTAATCTTATAGAAATATATATAAAGAAGAGATTCTTAAAAAATAAACTAAAAAGTATATATAAAAGTATTATCTCTTTAAAGTATTCTTAAGATATCTATTAAACTCCTAGAAGGAGTTTAATAGAATTAAGTAAATAAGTAATAGGTAGTTATATCTGTTATTCGATTATTGAGGAGCTAAGTAAGTATAGGAGTTCGAGTATTAAGTACTCGAACAAGGTAGGTCTAAAATAACGTAACTAAAGGAGTAGAATATATCGTAATAGTAACTACTTATAGCTACTATACTATAGCGCTTTAAGATCGAATTAGTTAGAAATCTCCCTTTACCTAAAGCAGACGAGGGTAGACCTATACTAGATATTATATCTATTAAGAATGGGTATGATTTCAAGTTAGACTCTCGCTAAGGATCTAGGTAGATAGAACACTTACTCTCCGAGTACTCTTGTAAATAATAATAAAGTTAAATATAGGTCGAGAATAAGAGTTATATTATAGGATATAAGGCTATCTATAGTATATATAGATAAGTAGATGTAGGGGGTAATCTAAAATCATATATAAGAATTCCGGTATTTACTCGTCCCTTCTAAAGGGCTAGATTATTCCTAAGGGGTACTATAATACTATATAAATAAGAAATCTATTAACCTATACTATAAGAATCTAGTCTAAGGATATCCTTATAGTTCGTCCGTTAAGGAAAAGTCTACTAATCCATTTTTACGTTAAATCCGCTTTTTCGCTTAATATCCCTCGAAATTATCGAAAGGTATCTTTAAAATCGTCGTCGAATTATCGTTGTCTCTATTCCTCCTCCCCCCTTAAAAAGAAGAGCAAGTAATTCTATTCTAATAGGTATATATCGATTCGGGAATAGCGTATAAAAAAGAGCGTAAAAAGTACTAATAGCTAATCTAATTATAGTAATAAGAGGTTTACTATATAGGTAAGCTAGTACTTAAAGGAGTTCGGTAAAAACTAGAGACTCGGTAGTAGTAGATTAGTAAGCTAGTAATTAATACGATCCGGTAGGTATAGTAGCTTTAGCTACTTTAATAGAAATAGGAGATTTAGTAGAAATAGTATAAATAGGTATAGATTCTATAGGGTATAGCTAATTAGTCTATTAAATAGGAAGCTCGATAGGTTTATAAGCTAGTATTTAAGGTGGTTCAACAAGTTATTTAGTAGATTCGATAGAAATAAGTAGTTTAGTAAATTCGTAAGCTAGCAGATTAATCTATTAGATAGGTCGAGGGGTGTAATCTATGTTTATTAAAGACTTATACGACTTAATATCGATTTCGCCTTTACTATTTAATATAGGAAAGTACGTAAAGAACGTCCTCTTAAACAAGCTAAAGTCGGTAGTAGATACTTCTAGGGCTTCGTTATTATAGTCTAGAATACTGTCACGAATCACGTGCACACGTGACAAGTGAAGACCAGACGGCGTCATGACAAGCCGAGCACATATGGGCCTGGGAGCTTTATGTGTTCTGGGAAACCAAAGGGAGTTTTCTTATGTAAGCAGGAGCCGTTAATTGGTTGGATAATGTATATGGATGTATACCTTTACCAACATGTTGGTCACGTGATAGTCGACAGAGTTGGTTGTCGACCAACATTCCTTAGTAGTAGTATTCTGAGAACGAAGGTTCTATATAAGACTGGCACGTCTGCCATTCAGATAGGAGCTTCGTGCTCAACTTAGTTATCAATCTTATCATATTAGTTTGAGTATATGGATGTATACCTTTACCAACATGTTGGTCACGTGATAGTCGACAGAGTTGGTTGTCGACCAACATTCCTTAGTAGTAGTATTCTGAGAACGAAGGTTCTATATAAGACTGGCACGTCTGCCATTCAGATAGGAGCTTCGTGCTCAACTTAGTTATCAATCTTATCATATTAGTTTGACATCTTTGATACAAGTAACGAGTTCACTTCCAAGTGAACAACCCGATAGTCTTCTTCTTATCATAGCATACCAACCAGCGAACACCCAGCCAAGTTTAGTTAGCCAGTTTGAGTATTCGTTACAAATACGCTTAATATCTGGATTACTATATAGAACTATACGGACCTCGTTACTAATCAAATAATTAATACTAAATAAGAGATCTATATTCGTAGGAGCCTTGCCCGAGGCATGAAATCCTCGTCGTAACAATTTAAAGAATCGTACTCTATTCCCACTAGTAAAGGTACCACAGCCCATATAATACATGTCGTCGGTCATTGTCGCCGGTTATTAGCTAGCTAAGCCACTTAAAAGTACAGAGATAGTAGGAGTCGAAAGCGGGGTATTAACAACAGTATTCACTACCTAGTCGTAATACTTAGTAGATAAGTCTAAAATTAAGGACTTGTATTCGCAAAGGTATCTTATATTCGTAGAGGTGTCAGATACTCTAGGGGGGTGCTCCAGAAGCTTAAATCGAAGGTGGATTATAGGTATAGATATTATACTTGTAGGTAACGGATTCGTACCGTGTAATAGCTAAATATAATTAGATATACTAGGATTAATAATATTAATATACATTTAGTACCAAATTATTAAGTACTAGGGTGTTAAAGGATCAATTTTCTATACTAAGGGGTCTAGATTGTTAAAGTCGAAATACGGAGGTCGAAAGGGTTAAATATAAGGTTGTTAGAATGTGTGGTATTGTACTATGAATTTTGTAGGATAAGGCTCAAAATATATACGATTCTATACGTTGTAAAGTCGGTACAAATATCGAAGGATTTATCGTGCAATTCAAGGGTTCCCTACGTAGGTCACTAGTAAATAATGATGGAGTCAAATATAGGTCGAGAATAGGAGTTATATTATAGGATATGAGGCTATCTATAGTATATGTGGATAAGTAGATACAGGGGATGATCTAAAATCACATGTGAGAATTCCGGTATTTACTGCTCTCCTTATTACGAGAAGCCTTGAGAATTTATGGTGTAGACGGATAGCCCAAATATGACAATAGGCCTGGTTGTTTTTGGCATACAAAATTATGTTAGTTCCGTTTTTGTTTTTGTTCGCCCACGTATCTTAGTTATTTGGTGCACTAGAAGCTTGTGAATTTATCTAAAGTATTTTTGTGTGTATAGAGGAAAGAGTAGGGTACTCTGTCGGGAAACACAATTTGAAAGCTCAGACCTACACCCTTTATGCCTTTGGGACTGTTACACATTGTAGACTGGCGGGTATATTAATTAATTCCCCCCCTCCCCTCGCCTAATTGATGGTTTGAGCTTTTGGTGCGGAAGCTTATATTACTCGCAACACCACGCTATAAAAGGTACAGCAATCCCCTAATATTAAGTAATATAACTGTCCTTTACTAGTAAGGGGAATTTTACAAAAAATAATCAAGCGAAAAGGTATAGCTTTACGTAAGCTATATGGTTTCCTAAATAGGAATTCTACAGTAGTACGTAATATGCTACTATTCTGAAATCAACTACATTCACTAGCTAGTTACAATAGTTATTTACTAGTTTAGCTTGTCATTGAGCCTGTATGTAAGTTGGAATTTAGTACAAGTAGTAGAAGATTACAATTCAGTTCTACTTTGTATTTCTGTCTACTTATGTGACAAGTAAAGAGTGTTGGTTGTTGGTTGTTGGTTGTTGGTTGTGGACTGGTGGCCCTATACGGTCAAGTCCGTTCCGTAGTTGTATCTCTTACAATCCACAACTGCAATTTTGAACTGCAAGTGTTCCTCTAGCATTCTTTTTCAGAATGGCCACTCCCAAGGGAACCCTCATCGTTACCGGCGCAAACGGCGGTCTCGGAAGTGCTACTGTCAAGCAAATTGTTGCTTCGCCCGAATTCGCAGGGTATCACGGCCTCTACCTCGTTCGAGAGGCAGCTTCTGCCACTGGACTAGATTCTGTCCTTGCCACCAACCCATCAAATTCTCACGATGTTCTTTCAATGGATCTAACGGATATGGACAGCGTCCGGCAAGCAGCCAAAGTTATCAACTCACGTATCTCCTCAGGCCAGATCCCTCCAATCAAGCTATTGATTCTTAATGCTGGATATAACGATCAAGGTAAACAGGCTTGGACGAAAGATGGCCTCGACATCACTTTCGGCGCTAATTATCTTGGACACTGGCTACTCACGCTACTTCTATTGCAAAGCATGAACATAGACTCCGGCAGAATTGTATTGGTGGGAAGCCAGGCGCATGAGGAACTCCTCACAGACATTATTTTACATAAATAATAGCTTACGATATAGAGCTGACAGCCATGTTTTTTTCTAGTCCCAACGATAAAAGAAATGAGCGGAACAAGGCATTCGCCAACGAGAAGTATAAGATTATACTCCGAGACGAAAATACTTTTGCCGCCATCGCGAAGGGAGACTGGAGCCCGGCGCAAGAAGTCCCAAGCTGGGCCAATGTGTTCCGCAGATATGGAGCTAGCAAGCTCTTCCTGATCATGATGATGCACGAACTCCAACGCCGGGTGGATCAAGACCCCAATCTGAAGAATATCAGCCTTCTAGGCGTCCGCGTGCTGATATTCCAGATCATCAGGCCTCTCCTATGTCTACTGATGCCCAATGGCCCATACCGGACAACTCAGAAGTCGGCATCGCATGTTTTGAGGGCAACTGTTGATTCCGACCAAGTGATGGGCCTGCTCCCGAAGGATCTGTATTTCAATGGCTTGGAGTTGATGGAGACAAGCGATGAGTCGAGAGATCCAGTGAAGAGGGACATGGTCTGGAAGCAAAGTATACGCTACGCTGGACTCAAGGAGGGCGAGACTATTTTGGGCAACTGGAAGTAGTGTTTGACCGTGGAAGTGGCCCGCGGAGTGGCGCATTCTTTCTCTGAGTTGGCAAAGTCAAAGGGCTTTCTATTGAGGTCTATCAAATGGTGAATCTGGTATTTCTTACCATCTAAAGACGAATCATATCTCTAGATGCTCTTCTACTACTTTGAGATGGGAGGTCAACATGTAAATTTTCGGTCAGCCTTATAGTCATCCTAAGTGTAACAACTGATATTTACAGCTAGGTATTAGCATCATTACACGTTACACGCCTAATAGAGGGATTTTGCTTTTCTTGATTATCCCTTCCAGAGTATATTCTTATAGGTCAGATCTTATAGGAGCTTCCTATCAGCTTTTCAAACCCCCTAGCTCAAAGCGACGTGAATATAACAAAGAGCAACAAAACCAAGCACAATCTAAATTTTGGCAACAGAAATGGTCCAAACATGGAGGTCCGACTATACCGACGTGATACCTTGTCTATTCTGAGGGTGACTATTGGGCATCAAGAAAATAACGGGGGCATAGGACGTGCTCTTCTATCTATAGTCTTACTCTCTGAACTTGCACGCAACTTTTTCAACATCCTGTCAGAAGTTTACTTACTGCCGAAATTCTCAAACTTGTCTACTGGATAATTAGATTTTAGTCTCCGCAATCAGAAATGCCATTGATCGTCCAGTTAAAAAACGCTACCATTTAGTACCAAACAAGAGAGTGTTGGTCATCTCTTGTCTGTGAGAATTGTCTGGAATTTTCACTGTTGACTTTCTTGTCTGGTCAAATTCAAGGCTTCCATGTCAAGAAGTTGTTTTCACAGGCCAGAGCAACGATGTCTTCAAACTGGTAATGTGATCCAAACTCGTATGGCTTACCCACAGCACTACTCTGTTATTTCCAGTGAATTGGTTTCAAAAGGCGATGCTGAAGATGAACATTGAATCAAATTAAATTGTTATTGTTACTCAAGCATTGGTAACAATAACACAAATTCCAAGACCACCAGACTCAGAGTATACGAGAACTAAGGGAGCCCGCTTCTAGTATTTCAAACGAACTAGCGAACTCGCTTTCTTCTCTGTCTTGACCCTTTGGATGATGAACAACAGGGTTCATTTGGAAGTCTGTAACTTAGTGTTCTCACTCGTTCTCAATTTGAGCCTCACTTCTCGCCAATCTGGCCGCATCTTTGGTCATGTCTCACCAGGGTTCCTGTGACTAAATGAAGTTTCCATCTGAACTCTCAGCGTAGCTTTCATAATTTGCTGTCAAAAGTTCGCTTACTGTCGAAAACGGTGAATTCATCCGCATAGTACCACTGTTATTATGTCTCGCAGTGGCGCTGCATTAACGCTTGATACCAAAAGCCACTGAATTGTAGCCTTTCACGTCTTACATGCTCTAATACTAAAGAAAGCTCTAGAACTTTTTGATAATAATAATCATTGACCATTTCTGCTAAAACGCCTTTGAAAGAAAACCTTCTCTGGCTAAGTTGCTTTGGCACAACTTACAAGAGTTGGGAGTTGAATGAGGCTGAGTAAATCACATAAAGTTAAAGAGACGAAGTAATTAATCTATGGCAAAGTTCACCAGACGTAGGATTTCGGGGATGATATCACTGTATTGTACAAAAATATTATTTAGATCCCTCGATTACGTACCCGTGTATTTGGAATGTTGGTTGGTAAAGTTGAGGTTGATAGTGACCTGAGTCCACTTGGAGATATCGTAGTTTCGTAGACAATGAATCTCAGGCCAACGATTTTGAAGTGCACAAGTACATAAATACCTTGGCATCCGATCCTTAAGTATCCCAAGGACCTCTTTTATAAATATGGGTAAGGGGAATGTTGCAATCCTCTCATTGACAAACGACTCTAGGAACGTAGTTGAAGTGAGCTTCCAGAATCGAGATGCTGGGTGGAGTTCAATATGTATTTTAGTTCTCCGACTTCTCACTCCAAATAATAAGCTAACACGCTTCTTCAAGGCCTTGTTCATCAAAAATAACAATTATCAAGAAAAAGATAGATTACAAAGGACGGAAAAATCCTCAACCGATCTTTTTACCCAATAGTATGCTTAAGCAGGCCGAGAACTCAATATTAAGCCAAGGAATTGCTACCCCAGCAGCGAGAGCGGTTGTATAGCATCTAGTCCTGGAGTAGGAAGATGCAATATAATTCATCAAAGTAACGTTAAGATAAGGCCAGAATTCGATAAAGATCGTAGATGCAATTATTGTGCGAAAGGTAAAGTTCAATAGTTTCCTGGAATGGATGGGATTGGAAAGAAGCAAACTGGTAGTGACCGAGATTAGACAAACACACTGAGAACAACAATACACCAAGAATTCCGAGGCAGCCGACAAGCAACTTAGAGACGAAAATTGAATGGAAAAAATAACATACTCGATAATCTACCGGCTCAGATGAAGTGCACTCCCTCTGTACGTCGTAACACCAATAATTCCCACACAAACACCAGGACCACAATTGACATCACCAGAACAAACTGCGCCTCTTCCCACAATCAATCTAGCAAATCCGGTACCCAGCGCCTCCCTTCCTCCATCCCACCGTACCTGAGCTTCTGTTCGTCCAATCATCCAACCTAAAACCCCAAGGAGCACCCCACCATGGCAGATACTCGTAAAAATACCTAATTCGTCGGGTCACTTTTCCCCTCGTAAAAAGCCAAGACCAATGAAGACATCAGAGTCAGACATTAAAAGTTCCTTCCCAGCGATCCCCATGCGCCTTTAATTTAGGCAGTTTCATCGATGGCTACGAACCGACGTTACACAACGCAGACAAGCCGACGGCCCTGAGGGGGGAAAACTGTAAGTAAAGCCGAGGAAACCGCTACCGGAGGACTCTCGGCGCGGATGGGGCAATGTGCAGATGGGAAATTGGACCGTGGGAGAGAGTTCCACAATGGGAGGGAGATGTAGAACATTGGACGAAATGCCTTTGTTCTAAATTGGAAAGGAGGAAAAACTGCGAGGTAAAATGAAGATTTTGAAATTTTTGTTAGAGGGCTCGACTCATTTTGTATAATGTACACAAAAGTTCTTGACGATACATACAGGGTCCCCAAGGGCTTGACTCCCCACATTACCACAAAATCAGGCCAGTCAGACCTTTTCATATACAATTAATTACAAGAATCTAGAAAAACAAACACCCCGTTTTCGTATTGTCGCTCCTTTTGTATGTGCACCATAAATCGAACCACCCATGCATTGGTATAATTTTCGTAAAAGCCATAGCCCTAATCATGAACAAGACCGGTTGAGAGGATTCAGGCTTCAAAATTCGGTAGCAGTGACTTAAACGAAGAGAATGGCAACGAGACCGGCAACGGCGGCGAAAGCAGCAGATCCTTGGAGACCAGCAGCAGAGCCGGTGAAAGCAGTTGGGGTAGGGGTGGCAATTGGGGTGGTGACGTTCTTTGGGATGTTGATGGAGCCGGTGCTGGATGGAACTGGGGCAGATGGCTTAAGTGTTGGTGAGACAGTGATGGTTTGGTAGATGACAGTTGGGACACATGAGGTGATGGCAACAACTGAGATTTGTGGGGCTGGTCCAACTGGTTTCTCTGGAACAGCTGGCTCAGATGGAGCTGGTGACTCATTGGCAACGGAAACTGGGTTGTATGGAGTTCCAGAGTTCTTGGTAGCGGAAGCAGCTGGAACGGAAGCGTTGTGGTGGACATATGGAGCTGGGCTTGGAACAACTGGAACTGGAGATGGTGAGTGAACGGGATAAGGGTTTGGAGTTGGGACCACTGGGACTAAATCGTGTGTTAGTAAATGCTGGAAAATTGAGGTTGATGGAAGTTGAGCTTACAGGAGGTGGTGCTAACAACGGTGGAACGAGCTGGGCAGTTGGTAACGGTGGGAGCGCATGAGGTGATGGTGACCTCCATGGTGGAGTAGACGGTGGCACCTGGAGTTGCCATAACGGCAGAGGCCATGAAGGCAGCGGCAGCGACTGTAAATTGCATCTTGATGATTTGGTTGGTGGGTTCGGTTAGGGAACTGAAATCGTAAAGTGCTGAAGAGCGATTGTGATTAGAGCTGATTCTTAAAAGAATGTAATTAGACCGAAGTCAAAGATAATCGAAAGATGATGAGAGTTGAAAAGTGGCTGTTGGGCTGAGGAGGAAAGAATGTGGTTTGGGGTTGAGGGCACATATAAACACCTTTGGGAGATTGGACAAAGCTCTCATGGAAGAACCCTATGCTGGTAGCTCCACTTCCTTAATTAGCCATTCACACCAACGGCTCCATCGTGGCAGAACCTCATTTCCATCGTGGTGCCCGTGGCCAGGGGTTTGCAGCGGCAAATCTTTAATGTGCAGCCATCCCGGTAGTTTTCCCTGCAAAGGGGGGAGAAAGAGGGGCCAACTGGGGCCACACGACATCCGCGATGCCAATTGGTGGGGAGGGCTCGAGGGAACGTTGTCGACTGCAACAAATCAGATTTTCTCATGAGTAGGATGCCCTGAATTGGCGGCGGTTTGTTTGGCCAGTGAGAAGGTGTAAAGAGCATGTTGCTTGTTACTTCGAAGTATTTCACGGCCAAAAGAACACCACAAAATCACCGTCGGAGGCACCAAAATCTAACCTGGCTGGGAGAAGCTTACCCTTGAGAATTGGGTTGGATGCGAAGCTTGGCCTCGCTAATGCAGGAACGTGTGCTGACCGACAATCAGATCCTTTTCTTAACAGGAACGGTGTGCCTCTGGCTCACCGAGAAACATCTTTCCCTGGATGGAAGATGCGTGGAAGGGAAGATCAGTTTGACAGCCTCGCTTCTCAAAATAAATGAATCGGAAAAAAAACATTAAAATACAGCCTTGAGAGTTCCAAACACCGAGCATCTTTCATGCGAACCTGACATCATAAGTCCGAATCTAAGCCCGACAGAGAGAGGACGGGCCTTGGATCGTCAAAAATAACTTTGAGCTTTGGTGTCGCGCACTCCCCCCACGTTCATGGAATCCTGGGTACCATGGCATGCGGCTGTTTTCCCCAGTCCTCGGTCGGCTTTGTTACGGGCCTTCCGTCCATTGGACGAGATCTTCTTCAGTGGGTGGAGAGAAACAACGATCAATTGTTTCAATGCCAATTCAGTATCGCGATCGCCTGCTTCATGAATCGTGAGAAGGCTCGGGGCCTTCACTGGTTTGCTTGACATCTTTTGATCGTCGTAGCCGGAACGATGACCGTTCAGAGATGGTTTTAGGGCAGCGACGCGCTCTGTAGAGCAATAATCAATAATGTAACGTTGGTCTTATTCTTCTTAGTAACGGGTCAAGGGTTGCTGTCTAGACCGGGTCGCTTCGTGCAATCAATTCTGTTCCTCAGCTTGGTGGAAATTTGGAAATGCTTGGATCAGCGAGCCCGTCGCTACAGGCTGTAAGATGTTGATCATCTCGAAATCTATTTCGTACAATATCTCCGAGTTGGCGCAGGCACGTGCCAATTCTGACCGTTTTACGAACTCGGTTTGGCGTCATCTTGAAAGCTTGTCATTTACGGGCATATCTTGGAAGGGATGGGTAAAGGATTTTGGAGGAACAAGCAGCCACTTCTCACTAATTGCTATCATGATTGATGGTGATTTAGAAACTCAATGACCTCCGTCGATGTTGAGGCGAGGTTGATCCCCTCCAGGTTGTTTATTTTGGGATTATTTTGGTCCAAAGTCCTGTCACCCAGTCATCACTGCAAATTGTCAAAATTTACGAGAACATTACGAAAAACAAGTGCATACCAGCATCAAGATCCTTTAAATAGCGTAAACATCTCATGTGTCATTTATGTAAATGCGCCGAGAGATCATCTTCCTTTAACCGTCTCCCGAAGAAAGGAGCCCATCGGTAACCCCGCTCGAAACCAGGAGTAGTTCAAAATAAACCACTTGACGTTGTTTCCAGTCCCCCCATTCACTTTCTTCTTTTCTTCTTCTTCTGTGAAGATAGACCTAAATCAGGACGTTTCACGAGGACATTGTGTTGGTGTTTGCTTGCTGCCTTGGCCTTTGGTTTGTTTCTCTGCGATTTGGCATTTTCGGTGCTTCCTTTGGATGCTTGAATTTCAATCTCGTCTTCAATTCCTCCCCATTCTTCCTCCTCCTCTTCCACGGGCTCACTCTCATCCCGGGGTTTGCTAACTTTGTGCTTCGAATATTTTTGTTCGGTTTCGGTTTCGAAGATATCCTCTGTGGCTTCCTCTGGTACGATCTTGACAGGATTGCCCAATACATCTCTGACCATATGGCCACGCTCATCACGAAGAAATTGTGACTCAATGCCATCGGAGACTTTAGAATTTCGAACAAAGCCAACGAGGAAGAATCCCATCGTGCCATGTTCATCGCCTTTATTGGCTCTGATACACGCTTCCGCCAATCCAGAATCTCCGTCCGCAGCTGCCAAATCTCCTCGAACGGGCCATTCTTTCAGGCCTCGAATTTGGTCTGCACGCTTCAACAATCGCCATCCCCTTTCTTTGGCGATACTGGAGCTCAGCGCTTTGATCACGACTTGCTCATTCTCCTCGGCGTGAATAGAACATGTTGAGTAAGTAATTTTTCGCGCTGAGGGAAATTTGAATGCATGCAAGAGAAGCTCAAGCTGAAACTTTGATAATGCTGTCAATCGGGCCTGGAGCTCGTCAACAGTATCGACAGCAGTTACCATGCCATCATCGTCCACCATGACATCTAGTTTCTCATCAAAATCTTCGCGCTTTCGTTTTCGGGTCTCTTTAGTAGGATCAGGAAGTCTAGTTCTTTTGTTGTTGCTATTACTTCCACTTTTGAAAGATGGTTCAACCTTTTTAAGAATTGGTAAATGTAACTCTGGCATATCATCTCGACCAATAATACCGCTTCCAGAACAACTTGGATCTAGCAATAGTGCCCCAACCGTCTTATACGCGGGAGAGTCTGGATCTGCTTTCAAGAAATCCTGTCCAGGATGAAGTTTGGTAAATGTATCCGATCCAGCGATTCCAACCATCATTTCAAGGGTTTCAGCTCGACCTTTGTTCTTTTCGAAAGCGTGAAGAGTTTGGGAAACCTCTTCGGACTCTGGGAGACGAGAAGCAAGGATGGCAGCGATATGAGTCGTTTTATTTCCAGGTGCTGAACAGGTGTCTATGATATCACCATCTTCTGGCAATGGATCCAAGAGGTAGGCCGGAAAGCATGATGCCTTGTCTTGGAAAATGATGCTTCCAGTCTTGTAAGCATCGCTCTTGGAGAGATCCACGCCAGCCGAGATAGCAACCAAGTTTGGAATGTTGCTGTCAATAAAAATACGTTTTGCCCCACGTTGTCGAACTGATTTGACACTTGTAGCTCTCTCAAGACCTGCAAAAGTCGATTCGAGTTGATCCTCAATTGAAGTTTTCAAGGTATTGATACGAACCCAACGAGGATATGGTGCTTCGGAGTTGTCAGTACTGTTCTCGAGTCCGGCTTCGATATGAGCTTTGAAGGCCTCCACAGAGCTCAGTTTCCTCCGGATCCTGGCTTTGGTGAATTCCGCCGTTAGTCTGGCCTTGTATCGTTCAATTGAGGTTCTGAGACCATGAATTGCCGGGAGTGCGATGCCTCTTTTTGCTAGTAGAAGATCGTGAACAAGAATTACTGACAGAACTGGTGTAATCTGATGAAAACGTTAGTAACGTGATAGGCTGTGTAATAAGGTTGGCGAGAACTGACTTTTCGCTCAAGCTTCAGAATATCTGCAGCCTCTATGACTTCTTTCAGAACACCACTCCATTTACAGGACTCTATCGCCAATGCATAAACTTGAGCCGGCTGAGACTTCAAATCCTTTTTACTGAATATCCTTGACTTCAAGCTGCCGCCAGAGGCCGCGGAGGATGTAAGGAACTCAGATGTTTCGTGGTAGAGCGACATTGCGGCTTGGGTTCAATCCGACGATCGGTGAGCCCAAAAAGGGGCTTTGGTGAACTGCCAAATTGACTAAAAATATGGCATTTGTAGAAGTATGAAGATGGATTGTCGCATACCAAATCTTGAGAGAAAAAATGCAGGTGAAGCTTGCGCGCCATGTCATGTGATATAAGTACGGTGGCCCATTGACTCAACCCGAGCCTTCTAGCGAGGGGAATGTGGGTGGGACAAACAAGCACCTAGCCTGTAAAAGAAAGAACATAGAGTTCTAATAAAAAGGCACACGCCAAGTGCTCGGACTTTGACCACATTATAGACTGAGAAGGCTCTATCTGGTGGAAACAAAGTATAGAGCAGGGCGGTAACTTCGGCCAAATAGGTAAAGAAGTCCTAAACCAGCGTCCAAACCCCACCTAAACTTACAAAAGTGTATAGGCAAACCTAGATATAAGGATATTAGATATAAGGATAACCTCGGTTATATCCTTAAATTCTAGATCCCGAGTTTTTTAGGTAGAATATATAGGAATACCTCTATAATAAGAATAATTCTTAGGTTTTTAGGTCCCTAAATCTTTTTTATACTAAAAATATCCTTCTTTTTATTCTTATCTAAGAGGTTCTAAGTAAAGTCCTAATATTATCTAAGTAAAAACCTAGGGCTTGGAAATACTATTTATAGGATTCTACGTATAGTACTAGTACTACGTTATATTTTCCTAGTACTTAAATATATAATATTAGTATTACCTATACTAAAACCCTCGCTATAAGAATACCCTCGGTTATATTCTTAAAAATCTATCCCCCGAGAATATCCTTATATCTAGGTTTATCTATAGCTAACGATATAGTAGATATTGTGACGGAGCTGGATTTCATTTGACAGGATTTCATTCGCTTGGCCAAGCACGTGACGAGACTTGGCATTGGAACAACTTAAATAACTTCGCTCCTTTCAGATTCTCTTCTCTCTTTAGTTTGATTTCTTCGTACCTACGGTTTTAGTTCTGGCAATTGATTCAAAAGCTGTATACACTTTATCCTTTGTTGGCATCCGTGACAGATATAGCGGATATAGTAGTACCGAGTAGTAGGGTAGAATATATATCCTACTATAGCTTGCTAAGCCTTTATCCTTATTTACTATAAATCCTACTAATTATTTAGACTTAAACTATTAGTAATTATAAATAGTAACTAAAGTACTAAGTAATTATATTTAAATAATACGTCTTTTAGTAGTATATCCTCGTCCTTGTTAACTAACCCTAGACCTAGGCCTGCGGTAGTTATAGCTCTCCTAGGGTAGCTCTAGTAAAGAATAGAGTAAAATCCCTGTAAAGTTATTAATTTTATACATAGGACGATATAGGGTTTTAGCCAAGTATGAGAGTCCGGACCGGTCAGACGAATACCTAGGCGCGAACGACATATATAACTCCAAGGACTTCATTTACATTCCTTTTGAACTATAATTTGTTACCCTATAAAGCAAGCAGTATCGTATCTATCCTTCCTACAACATGCAATTCCAAAATCTCCTTGTTATCGCTACTTTAGCGACTAGTGTTAGTGCTGCCGGTTACTCGTGGGCATACTGTCAAAACCTACCTAGTGTCCGTCTTTGTCTCTCTGTTTAGAGAATATCGTTAATCATTGATTAGGGGAATGACGATAGTTCATCAATGGGTTCTGTATGTAATAACTTAAGGGATCGATTCGATTGTAGTGATTGTAAAATTCGGCAGGCTCTTCAGGATCCTGATAATATTACAAAGTGTACAAGTAGTGGAAAGAAAATTGATCCTAACGAGGTAAGATTTTCTATATACTCTCTATGTTTTCCTAGCCTTGTTGTAAATAATAGAAAACTAATCGTATGGTAAAATAGTGGGTTCGCCAGTGTCAGGCTTCTAACCACGGGCTAGGGGGCCGGAGAACTGGAGTGGGAAATTAGTGGAAAGAAGAGAGAGGGCAATTGTAGGAGGATCTGGACTATAGACTCCTAGTAGATGGAGCATAGACTCCTATTTGCGGGGCTGGGGGTCAATGTTTCCGGACCGTGCTCCCATAGGGAGAGCGAGTTCTCGAGTTTGATTGCTGGTTATTACGATAAATGAACATTATAGCTGAGGATATTTGGCCTTGTTTTCTATAATTATATACTGTACCCGCGATTGGAAGGTTTCATACAAATATTCTTCACTTTCTGTTTTATGAGTTCACGGGAATGACTCTACCAATATCCTGCACTAGCGATTTACCACTTTTCTTTATCAAGTTACTATTGTTCAGCTCTCGTGACCTTTCCTCAATGAGTGAAAAATAACAACAACTATTATAAGAAATACTCAGCGCAATCCTAACCCCGTCATTACTACTTATTCTAACCCCTCCAAACGACTGACTAACTTCAGACCTTCTAGATATCCGAGAGCTGGTTAAAGTTATTGCTATCAACGCTGTAAGAGACATGCTTATCACTCTGCGCGTACTACAAGTCTAGCACAAGCAACGTAATTGTCTAGTATATCTGGGTTAATAGAAAATGAGATATTATAATTTCCCACAGCATTTATATAACTACTTTCGTTACATAATACCTGTAGGATAATACAGTGGCATATATCGGGGACTTTTTGGTACGAGATCCCGCGCCTTATATACACTTTATAATGACATATTACGACATCCTAATCGTACACTTAGGTTGGTATCAACTAAATCGCAAATCGTAAATCGTAAGAGCCTTATATTTACTATTACTACTATACCTATACCTCCATACCCCCACTCTTAGCTTTACGTGCCTAGGTATTTTTACGTGTAATTCCTCACTGTCGTGTGACAGTTTTTGATTTAGTGAATAAGGGTTCGCTTAGCGAAGTTGCGGGTGTACCCTTCCGTAGATAGACAAATACCTAAGGAGTGCGAAGAGCGTCTCTCTTCCCTCCTTGCGAACAATCTATTCCTTGATCCCCACCATAACATATCGCCCCTAATCCTTACTGTCGCCCACGCTTACCGTTACTGACCCTTACTGTTACCCGCTACTATCGCCCGCCCTCCCTGTTGTATTAGGGTTGTGCCCTAGCATGTTGTTTAGAGGAGAGAGAGTGTGTGTGTATGTGTATATAAGAGAGTAGCGGAGGGGGATAGAAGCGGGGAAATGTTTAGTTGTATATATCGCTTATTTCTAGCCCCTAAATACTACCTTCCTAAAGAGGCTAGGCTAGTACGTGTCGAGCCAACAATCTTTTGCTACTTGTACTTCTCTATCCCTTTCTCTTCTCTTTCTTTACGATAACCACTTACAACTAAGACAGTAATAGCGATTACAATAGTAAGAAGGGATAGGGGGTACTATTTGCCGGAGGGGGGCCGGGGGCGGGATATTTAGTTAGTACGTGTAAGACACGTGTAGGGGAAAGGGTAGAAGGGAGGTCGGGGGAGAAAAGGGGGAGGTTTACTAAAAGGGGCGTAAGAGGGTATACCTACGGACTTATAGTCTAGAGTACTTATATTTATACTATATAAAATAATTTAGACTAACTCGACTTAAGTATTTGGCTCTACCTATTATAAAGTAATTTTTCACGATTTGCGATTTAGTCGATACCGACCTAAGTGTAATCCTACGAATGGGATACCGTACATATTAACTTCTACAATCAATTATAAAAAAACCACCTACTCGAGTATTATAAATGCGAATCTTTTAATAAAATACTCCATAAAGTGTAAAGAACAAAACTACCAATTGATATCTTTATAATAGCTACGTTTTTATAGTAATATTACGAAGTGTTTATCCCCTCAGCTGCGGCCAGGAACGCACTTGTGTAGTCCGTGCCTAGGGAAGAATATTAACTTTCTAAATAGCTACAACTATAATTTATTCTACTTCTATCATTTAGAAGACTATATAATTAGAGGGCATATCTCTAGGGACTTCCTATCTTTATATTTTGCTGTTATTATAGCCCGAAACACCCTAGAATTCTCTAAGAATTGTACTAAATCTACGCTACAAAGATCATGCTCTAGAAAAGGCTATAGTAGGCCTAATTACTATTAGTAACTTAAGACGAAGTACGAGCAGTATACTAATACTCGGCTATAATATTTATAACGTCCGGTTATACAGAAAATGGTCGTTATCCTAAGTTTTTATTAAATATAGTCCATTTTCTAGCCAAAAGTAATAGATCGCTAAATAAGCTCGGACCAGTGCGTTTCTGGCCGCAGCTGAGGGGATAAGTACGCGCTTTTCCATCTCTGGTTCTATAGCCAGAAGTTTACTTTACCGACATTTCTCTAGAACCAAGTCCTCTCATTCCCTTCAACTACCCCGACCGGCGACCGAGTTTCCAAGTATCTGTTCATACCTTACCTTACCTTAACACAGTCCAGTCCAGTCATCCCCTCCACTTTACACGTACTATACACTTTCCCCCCTTTGCCCCTTTGTCATATGGAAGGGGTAAATAAGTAGGTATATAAAGCTCACTATCTTTTTCCCCCTCCCTATCCAACCACCTACGCTTCCTCTATCCTCTCGGACTTAGAGCGCCCAAAAAAAAAAAAGAAAAAGAAAAGAAAACCTCCTTCACCCATCGACCTACCTACCAACTTACACATCCCCCATCATCCATCTATCATCCATCTCATACCCACCCATCTATACACACCTCCCCTCCCCCCATCACACACACACACATACTATATCATCCCATTCTACTCATCCCATCCCGTCACACACCCACCCCTTCACACACTCACAACCCACATCCACAAATCTCAATCTCAAAAATCTCATCATCAAGGAAGAAACTAATAATATATTCACATCACATCACATAATATCACAAATATCCTACCTCCCCCCATCCCACTCACCCCTCACATCCCTCCCATCCCCTCAAATCAGGAGAAAGTAAAGTGCGATCAATACAAAAGCAAAGAGAATCAGGTATCAAAAAAATCATCAGGCTCAACTCGCAAGCATGCAGACATTCATTCAAAAAACGACTCAAGTTCTCAAAATCAGGATCAAAATCAAATCAATACATCCATAAAAAGCAGTACGCGGTGAAGCAAGTGCTGCAAAGTAACGTAAAAAAAAGAAAGCTCAAAGTAAAATACACATTTCCCCTCCATCCAGTCCCATCAGTTCATAACCTCGAGAGAAAAAGGAAAGGGAGGAAGGAAGAAAAAGATAAAAAAAAAACAGCCGCCAAGCCAAGCCAGTCCAGTCCAGTCAACCAACCAAAAAGATCCCAATAAAAACGTAAATAATTTTCCACCCATAAAACGCCGCTGCATCATGATTCAAGAAATATGAAACAGTCAACACACTTGAAAAGTGAGGTTAATCAGAGGATGAGCATTTTCTTTCTTTACATATTTCACTGAACCTGCAAGTCCATCATCTAATCATCATCGGCGCGAAGGACGGGGTACAGGCTCTCCGACGAAGGCTCTGGAATGGGTGATTTGGCATCCTCCATATCCATGTCCTCGTCCTCAACGTACTCGCCTCGTTCTAAGCGGTCGCTGACCATCTTCTTGAGTGCTTCAATAACACGGATGTTCTCGATCCAAAGCTCCTCAGCACGGTCACGAGCACTGTCTCCACCCTCAGAGTGGGCCGCTGGAGAGAGAGCACCGGAAAGTGCTGGGTCGATGTTGCTGGAGAGGGTAGTCTTCATAATGCCATCGGGGCGTGGAGTGGTCTCCTTTGGTGATGGAGTGCGAGAATCATCAGATGGAGATGAGGCACTATCGATAGAGAAGTCACGAGGACCAGCACTACGTTGAAGCATACCACCAGAGTAACGACGGCGCTGATCAGCATCAAAGTTGGTACCTAGAGTGGAAGCTGGAGCGGTGGTGGAGTGTGGTGAGTAGCCGTGAGTAACAGCTGGCAAGCTTGGGTATGCTGATGCAGTTGAGGCGTGTCTTGAAACTGGGGACATTCCATTGGAGATGGGAGACATGCCGTGGGAAGAGCTTGGCGAGTGTCCAGAGGTGTATGAGAGAGCGCTTGAGGAAGGAGTCAATGCTGGGGTGCCAGATGAGTTTGATTGGCTGGAGTGGCTGTGCATCATTGGTGCAGTCTGGTGGGAGGATACTGGTTGGAGGTGGCTAAGGCTTGAGAGTTGGGTCTGTGGTGGAGAGTGGCTCTGTCGGAAGTTGACGGCTTGGTGGGTGTAGTGAGAACCGGGCTGTTGGACACCAGCGGCTGCAGCGGCATTGGCGCTCTCATAGACGGTGGATTGCATTTGCTCCAAGAATTGATCAATGTTCATCAGGTCGTTCTTGGTTCTAAGATTTGGCATAGGTGGGAGAGCATACTGTTGATGTTGGTGGATGGGACCACCGTGATGGCCTCCATGAGGTCCACCACCTACAGCGACCATTGCAGGACCAGCTGGCATGTAATCAGTGAGACCACCACCGTGGATTGGGATGCCTTGGAGGGCCATCAATCGCTGTCCAACTTGGTCGTAGGAGGTGGGGTCGATTTGGCGTCTCTTGGCATCACCAAAGAAATCGTTCAAGGCCTCGTAGCCGCGCTTTCGGTTGTCATAAGCGGCGTGGTGTCCCATATCACCGCCATGGCTGACGGGATAGTAGACTGGACCGCCGTAGGAGGGCTGTTGTTGAGGAGCATAGTATCCGTTGTGTCCTGGGTGTTGTCCGGGATGGCCGTATTGCGCCTGGCCTGGGTGCATTTGAGGGGCATGATCGTAGTAACCTCCGGCACCAGCTGCAAGATTCTGCAGGTTAGCAATCACTATTTTCTATGTCAGAATGGTGGTCTGGGGTCCAACCAGAGCCGGAGCCGCTGTGCTACATGCTACAGCAATGCTACGTACCTTTGCCTCCCTGTCTGTAGCCCGAGTTCTGCCCTCCGTGCTGCTGCTCGGGGGATCGGAGGAGCACCGAGTCATCGGCATGAGTCTTGAAGAGGTTAGTCGGTGCTCGTAAATGATACTTCCCCACGATGGAGATGGAGTTGAAGCAGAGTAGAGCATACCTTGACGTGTTTCTTGAGATCCTGTGGCCGCTTGAAGGCCTTTCCACAGAAGTCGCACTTGTGAGGCTTCAATGGAACATGGACTCGGATGTGGGAGGTGATGTGGTCGCGCTTGACGGTGGTGGTTCTGCAGGAGTTCCATCCACAGGTCAAGTTGAGGTTGTTGGTACTTTTGCGTCCCACATGTTTCTCGCAGATGTGCTCCTGCACAAGAGGGGCACGTTAGTCAACCATCATCACATACATATACACAGACACCATCATCACAGCTGCCATCTGCCATTACCATACCTAAAGCCTCGCTACCTCTCAGTCTAATCCCTTGGCATCCCAGATGACAGAATGCCAAGAGTGCAACCGAGTAATAGGAAGCTCTAGTCGCATGGCAGGTACCGTACTGCAGATGCAGACATTGATATTGATAACGATCGCATCAGAAAATCATGGTTCAACATACAAAGAGAGCCTCCGCTGACAGGCACTTCTCTGAACATTTATCCCATTGACATGAGAGCGAGTCCGACTCGATCACGGGCTTTGGGGCCTCGGGTGCTGCGACGGCTACCGGTGCCTCCACAGGGGTTTGGTTATCAGCCATCGAATCGTATTGCTGGTTCTAGGTATCGCGCAATGCGGGTCCGTTGGGGTGTTGGGGTGTAGTTGAAGTCGAGATAGTTGACGAGAACCTCACAAAGTTGATCGAGGTTTTTGCTAGTAATGTAACAAGTTCTATGTCCGTAGTGAATAGAAGGATAGAGCAGTCGCGCTTTCCTTCCAAGAAATCGAGGGGGAGAATCGCGCTCTTGTATTCAAGGTGGAAGCACTTGGCCTCTGATGCCAAGCCAGTCCCCTTGGCGATGTCTTGGCGCGTGAGCTTAGAAGTGAAGGAGCGAATTTGATGATGGAGGCCGGCGGAGAAGTGCTACAGTCACCCGTGGTTGGGATTGAGTGTTGCAGAAGCTTTGGAGCGCGCAGCCAACAAGGAGGGGCAACTCGACCCGCGGGCGGGTGTCGAGTAGTGCAACGGGTGCGCGCAGTAGACTTGAATAATGCCAAGAACGCCAAGCCGTTTGCCAAACTCGATTGAGGCAGTGCTGCGGTTTCCAGGGTATTCATTGGCTCCCCGTGCCAAATGTTGCCAATTTTCGGGGAACAAAGTCCCAAGGATCTCCGAGACGGACGGCCAAGCATGAAGTGCTTGGCTGACTCAACCCACCACCCATCAACCCACACAACCCACACCAGGTGCCCATTTGCGCGACTTTCTCTCGCGCCGTGGACAACGCTGGCAGCTGGCAGCTGCCTGCTGGCGATGTTCACGAGTAGTGCGTATAGCACGTATAGCACGTAGAGTACCGTAATTTAAAGCAGAAACGAGGGACACCTGGACACTGCAGTGGTGCGGCCGACCCATCATCCCTCGACCAACGAGTCTGTGTGGCGAGCATTGCTTGTATTGCTTTGTACAAGTGCTTCAAAGTAGCTTCTACTTCTAGCTTCAACCTTTTACTTCGTACCAAGTGGGACGGCAGAAGACTCCCAGTCTCCCAGAACTCTTTTGTCAATACCGGTAGGGTCATCCAGAATACATTTGATGCTTCTCCCGTCAGAAGACTTACTTCGATAGAACCGTCAAAACTCAGTACTTGTAGCCATGTCCAAAATGGTACTTGAAGTATACTGGCACTGGCACTCCATTTCCAGCTGCTCGGGTTGACGGAGAGAACCCATCAACCGATTCACCCACCTGCATCCCCAAGAAGATCACTGACATCAACAAACAAGTTGCTCTCCGTAGATCTCCTCTCGCACCGTCCGTACTTATGCCTGATATCCACCATTTACCAGAAAACCATCGATGTCACGCGCAATTCCCGATGCACCTCTCGTGAAACAATCATTCACGGTATCCATTCTCGAAGGTTAGCTTTCCTCTTCCAAAACACTCTCCTGCCTGAAATTATGAAGAACCCCACCTGTAAATCTCTCCAGTGTCCAGTTTCCAGAGTCCCAGGGCCCCAGACCACCCCCAGACGCCCCGAAAATAAATTTCATGGGCTCTCGCAACAACTCGCATCCAGAAACCCCCCGGAACAATCCGAGTTTCCCAAAAATACACTTCCACCACCAAACACACACCCCCATCTCCCTCCCCACCATCCATCCCCCCTCTAACCCTCTAACCCACTAAACCCAACACCAAGCATCGACTGCCCAGCAAAATAACGGAGATGGAGGTGCTTGCTTGCGTCGCTTGATCATTGCTTTCTCGTGATGATGAAGCCAAACGGCCGGAGCGTTCGCTTAGCAACCCTCCCCCTTCTTGGCTGAAGCTCTTTGCATTTGCATATTGGGCTGGGCTGGGCAAGAAACGTGCCTCCCAAGACCTCCGCTCATTTCCCGCCCATGGACGAGTCTTGGACAAGCGTGACAAGAAATCCCTCTGCCTTTCGCCTCTTGGCCTTCCTGATTGAGCGGTGGCCTCGAACAGCACATGAAGGAACGAACCCCCTCGTCCAAAGCGGGCTACCATAACCTTTTTACACAGCCTCCTTTTCTGTGATAATTTCATCATTTTTATGGACTGACTTGTCGATGAGAGGTGTGTGATGTTCTGAGGGTGGGGTTGGTGCCGTTTCATGGAATGGCTGGCTATGATTCGAGCATTATCGGTAGAGAGAGACAGAGATGCCTCTTGCATAGAACCCCACGAAGGGTCCCTCCGTAGATAGATCTACAGTACTAACTGCACGCAGAACGATGTGGGCATGTAAACCGGTATGTACATATTCACCGTCCTCACTCTTCGGTCTCCTCGGCCTTCAGGAGTCAGTCAACCAGGTCTTTCGGAGGCGGATGTGCAGGTGGGAGGCCGGCAAAGCTTCCCATCCATCCATCCATCCATCCATCCATCCATCCAAATTGAAGTTGGGGCCAGCCAGTCAGTCAGCCAGCTAGACATAAACTTTCTATCCTCATCTGCCCTCCTCAATGCAGATACACCAGCTCAACTCGCTAGTCCCTACTCTAAATTGGTATTCACACCATGCATGCCTTCTCCAATGGATTAAGGTCCCCCCATCCTCACCTGCGACACAGCCACCTCAAATAGAAAGAATTCCTCCTCAATACATAACCCTTCATCCCCCTTCCCCTTCCCCTCTTCAAAAACGAACACGAAATCAGGTCATTTAGAATTAATCTCACCCCCTTCCATCCATCCATCCCTCTCGTCCTTTTCACTTTCAGGCAGTGCAAATACCACGGTCCCTCAATATCCATCATTCCGCATTTCCCCTTCCCTTTCATGACAGAACCGACTTGCGCGTACTCCGGTCTGAATCCCTCCGTAGCAATCCTCTCGTGCGTGCAGCGTGCAGCGTGCACAACTTTACCTTTCCCCTAGTCTACTCGTACTCTAGAGTCTAGCGTAATGAAGGGGACAGGTAATGGATCAGGGGTAATTTACGGTCTTTTTTAAACTTTTCTGACTTTTTTTGGGGCTCGCCTCTTTCGATGTGAGTAATGCCACCAGATGCCGAAACGTAGCGTAGTCTATCTCCGAGGTGCGGCGGTCCGGATTTGGAGGTGCGGTGCTGTGCGGATGATGGAGTCGAGTCAAGTCGTTTGGATGGCGATGTGGGAGGGCATGGGAAAAGTCTGTGTGTGTTGTATACTGTGTATGTGGGAAATTAGCTACGGTATGTGTGCCGATGTTGAGGGGAGAAAGGTAAGCGGGTTTTTGGGTGGTGGGTTATTTTTGGGATGTGGTTTGGCCCTTTGGGGGATTGATGGGTGTATAGGTGGTATCTTCTCTACTGGTACGTGGGGTTTCTATGGTGTATGTATGCCCCACGGGAGGTTTGGTGGTTTGTTTTTTGATGGAAGTGTCGTTGTCGTGGGAAGTTCGAGGTTCCTTTCGCAAAAGTTCTTAGTGATTAAGTATCATGAACGTGAAGTTATCCTACAGAAATGTATTTCCTTCCCCCTTCCACGCAGCTACAGTACGCACTTCAAAAATGATCTGGAGTTGAAATGGTGGTGGGAAGTTATTTTTATCAGACTCCTGACTAGGTAAATTTACAGTAGTATCCCAAATCCTCTCTGTTGTTGCTCTTTCAAGAATTTCGTACTATAATAGTATTCATAACACACACTCAATGAGGATTTCGTGTAATTTACTCTTACCAAACGTGGCATACAAAGAAACCAAATCTCATTCGTAATATCGATATTTTTCGTAATCCGCGTTCCTAAAGTCGTGGTCGTGAGTGTTCCTTTTGACAATACTTCTACTCTAGGAAGATACAGTACATGCATTGCGAAACTAATACTTCTACTTCGTAGAATCGGAGGTTGAGCCTTACTTACACTGGACTGGGATGGTGTATGTTAGCAGCACAGATAATTTATATTCTTGGCATGGTATCGTATCGTATCCGCTCAAAATCTTCACAGAATCACATCAAGAGAAACGAATAGGTACCAGTAAGTGTTTAATGATTTACCTCACTATTGGGACGTGCACTCTCTCTTCTATATCATACCTCATATCATTACCCCATTTACTTCTAGCACACCATTTCATTTCAAAGACAAGGTTACCAAGTATACACCCTCACAATCCCATCTCCATCTCTACACCTGGGTATAAACCTGGTGCCCGCATACGCAACAACAGCTCTTCAAAAAAGAAGCGGAAATCGAGATACCTGGATCGAAATTGTAAATACATAGGATAGCAACAACAGTTCAGCTGAACAAGCTATGTATAATATCTCTCATGTTCACTAAAACATGCCTCTCTCTTAATCCATGGATTACGCTTCACAAGTAGGAACGTATGTACAAGTAAAGCGAAAAAAAGGAAACAGAGATAAATTGAGCTCTATGGCTGGGTGATAGGTGAGCAACAAATTCAATAAGATTCTTGTTAGCTATAGAGATAGATATAAATATATACCTTAAAAAATACAAGTACTGTATAAAGGGTCTAGATAGCTCGGCTCTTTCCCGTTATTTACTAATATAGACTTACATGAATTAATGGTTCCATTAGCTTAGAAGGTATATTATAGGTATTTGGACCACCGTGCTTATAATAAGTCGTATACTATATAGGGAGGGGAGACGCGAGTTATTTTCCTTTCATCGTTCCGTTTAGTACTTTTTTGACTATACTCTTGAAATAGTGGGAAGTAGACGTACTACTAAATTAATATATACTACTAGAGTATATAAGGTACGTGCTTAATTCGTAGGAATTCTAAGCTTTTATCTATTTATTTTCTTTTTCCTCTTCTTTTTTCCTTTTACTTTTACTTATTAGATAATTAACAATTAACCCTTCATTATCTCAAACCCTAAAAGTTCTCTATATTACTATAGCGGAATAGACGAAACTTACCTTCCTAATTAGAGAGTTCTAAATCTAGATTTTATAAATAGTGAGAGGCTTCGTAATCTTTGATCTAATAGACCAGGGGCTAGAATATACTATACTACACTTCCTACTAGCTCGACACCCTATTAGTATTAGTTTACTAATACTCAGGTTCACGTAGGAGGTAGAGGATATATTATTTAGGTTAAACAGCCCCTAGGGCACTTATAAGGCTATTTGTACCTTAACAAGTAGAGCCTAGGCTACTAAGCGCTTAATTAAGGCCTATCTTACTATCTAAAACTAGTAGCTAGCTTAGGGATAGTAGAAGGTTAATAAGAAACTACTCTTTGTAAGCTTATAATAATAATTAGTAGATTTATTATTGTTATAGATAAGTAGTTAAATAGATTAAATAATATATATAAGCTTACTTAGTTACCCTTAGTATACAAAATATATCCTTTACTAATACTTAGGTTTATAAAGGAGGTAGAGGATATATTATTTAGGTTAAATAGCCCCTAGGGTACTTATAAGGCTATTTACAC